ACCCAAATTCACCCTCAAAGTATAGTGACAGAGATGGATTCACCACAAATAAAAAACGGGGACAAATCCACTCACAAAATTTTTGACTTAGACAAATCACCCAAAATTTAATGTGTAACATCATTTGACGTCAGTAATATGTTAATTTGTTATGTTGCTAATAACGGATTGTTGACGTCAGATGATGTCAAATTGACAGATTGTTGACGTTAGATAATGTAACACGTTAAATTTGAGGTGATTTGTCTAAGTCAAAAACTTTGTGAGTAAATTTATCCTTGTTTTTTGTTCGGGGAAGGATCGTTCCCTATCACTATATTTTGGGGGTGAATTTGGATATTTTGCATATGTGAAAAATAATTCTTATAAAACATGCAATTGCTTTTATTAAAGTTGATAAAATTTTATCACTTTTGTACTTTTGTGTTTGATAAAAAATTTTAAATATCATGTTATTTTGGGTAATGGATAATATATAATTGTTTTCATTAAGATATTTTATATTTGATATTTGTTATTATTAGTTATCTATATGGATAATTTGTTTACAAAATTTAATAGAAAAGACACATCAAAGGTAATTATTGATTTTACTTTACAAAATAAGAGTGATATTAAGGTCAAATTATGAATGATAATTATAGTTATGTATTATTATGACTATGTTAATTAATTTATTGATTAAGAGATTATAACTTTGTTAGTTATCTACCAGGATTATTTTAGATATTTTTGATTAGTGGGAGAAGTTGATTTCTCTATTAGTAATAAACTTCATTTTGTTTATTGTATTATTTATTATTTTATAATGATGTACAGCATTCTACTAATAATTTTTATGAGATCATACATATATTGATATCGAGATCTTGAGGTATAAAGCAAAAAGACTTCTTCAAAAGTGTGTGAACCTCTTTTAAAGTGTGAAAGTTTTTCTAAAAAAGTAAGGAAGATTATCTTTTATATTTTTATAAAACCTATATAAAGTTTAAAAATTTTTTCTTGGAGAAGTGTAAAAGGGGATCATTGTGGTTTTAATATGTAATATGTTATATAAATTACGTTATGTCAAACCACATTATATTTTATCATACCTATTGAAATTAATGTTAGTGGAGATATTTAAAACTTGTGATTGAGAGGGGTCTTGTCTTGCTAGTAATACAATAACCACACATTTTGTTATTAGCATTTTCATTCAATAGAATTTTGTGCTAAAATTTTGTTTTATATTTATGGTAACTAACGTTATATTTGATTTAAAAGGTATTTTTAAAATATTTTTTTTAAAAAAAAATTTAAAACTAATTAGCATTGTTTAAGTGGGATAATGTTAGAAGTTTTATGTAACCTTCCACTAATTATATTTGGTTTTTAAAATTGAATCAAATAAAAAAATAATAAAACCCAATAACATTATGTGATCTAAGTGAGTTTTGTTTTATCTTAATTTTATATGACATGATATGAATTGGTATAAGGATTGGAATTAAAGATGGGTTGCTTAATGAGATACCTAAAATATTATTATAATGAGTTAATCCTCTCCTCCATTAAAAAAACCTTACCTCTATAATTAAATAGTAAAATTAAGAAGTAATACAATGATTTATTAATTATCACAATATAGAAGTTAAATAAGGAAAAAAAACCTAAATTTTAATACTAATTATATTTATTTTATAAATTTTATCTATGATAATATTTGAAAAATTTTAAATAACATATTAATTGTAGAATTTAAGATACATAATTTATTTATTTTGTTATATCTTGATACGCTAAATTCGTATATCAATCCTTAACATGCTAACAGTAACATCTTAGCATTTCCGGTTACTCAAATAGAATATTGCTTGCTTCACCATTAAGAAACAGTCAAGGGTGACTCGTCATGAAAAATCCTGTAATCGAATTGGCCTTTTTCAAGTGACCACAAATATAAACAGAGAAGAGCAGTGCTAGGAACGATCGCCCCTAGCACTCGCCAATCAACACCTCCCCATCTATGCGGGCACATCAGCTAACCGGAAACTGTTGATAAGCCCCTTTTTTAAAGTTAATTGGTGAATAGACCAAATATTGAGATTAATAATATAATATAAGACATGTTTATTTAAAACATTAATAAAAGTTAAATTTTATAATATTTTATGATTTTTTTTTTTGTTTTAGATTTTTTTAACATTAAAGGCATTTTTATCATAAATATATAAAAAATGTAAAATTTTACATTAATTTTAATATAGTTGTTGAATGGATTAATTTAATTGAATAGTTTAATAAATTAAATGTCAATTTTTATTTTTTTAATATAAATTTGTACAAAAAATATGTATATTTATTATATCCTTAATTTATATATTTAAG